AGCTTCGTTGCAGCGACGGGATCGGCAGGAGGAGGGATGATCTTGCGCGATGATCGAGGAGAAATCATCTATACTGCATGTAGAGAGCTGCGCACATGCGATAATGCCTTGGGAGCGGAGCTTGCGGCTTGCAAGGAGGGCCTTGAGCTGGCCCTAAACAGGACCGGGCTGCCTATCACGGTCGAGCTTGATTGCGCGGAGGTTGTGGCGATGATCACAACAAACGTAGAGGATCGCTCGGTGCACCGCACCCTCATTCAGGAGATACGAGATATAACGGCTGCCGCTGGAAGGGAGATCTCATTTACTCTATGTTGTCGTTCACAAAATAAATATAGCCATGAACTTGCCTCTTACGGGCGAAGAACCCCCCGAACCGCTGTGTGGTTCCACTCGGGGATAGACCCTGCTGTATGGCTGGCCTCCGCGGAGAGACCACCTTGAGTAATGAGAAATCCCTTATACCCACAAAAAAAAGAAAGAAATGCAAGAATGATTTTACAAAATAATTTTTAATACATGCTGAACATATTTTGAAATAAACAATGTTGAAAAATTCATCATGTAGTAAGAAAATCTTCACCATAAATTACAAAAAGTTCACTAGAATTATGTAAAATGTTAATCATATATTAAAAAAAATTCAACATATATTACAAAAATGTTCAACGTAGATTAACAAAAGTTCTTTATATTAAAAAAGTTTACATTTTGTAAAGAAAAATTCATCTCCATTAAAAGAATGTTTACTTTACGCTAAAACATGCTCAGCGAATATTAAATAAATGTCCTTGTGTATTTGAAAATATGTTCAACATATACTGAAGCTTAATTTAAAAAATGTTCAGTAAGTATGTTAAAAATCCAGGATAATAGCCAACCTAGTGAATGAAAAAAGAAGAAGAAAAAAGAAAGAAAATACAAAAAAAAGCCGAAACCAGAAACAAAACTAAAGCGTACTAAGAGAAATGGACTGAAAAGAAACCTGGGCACCCCTCAAAAAAAAAACCTGGGCAACGAACGAGCCCCAGCGCGTGCGCTGATAAAAAGCGAAACGAAAAAACAAATTGCAGGCCACGCTGGCCCAACCGCCGGCCCAGGGTGCTTCAGTATAAAGAAAATCGAGCGTCTATATTGTATGGGCGCGCCTGTGGCGTTGTGGCTAGCACGCCCGGCCTGTGTGCGACCGGTCGCGAGTTCGTATCCTGGCAGGGCCTGATTTTTCGTTTCTTTTATTTGTTGTCCAATTCGACCGAAATTTCAATCGAGTCCGTGGAAAACTTACGAACGAAAAAAAAGTCCCTCACAGGACTTTTTCCCGCAAAAAAAAAAACGTTCATGTGATTGACTATAAAAGTAAGGGGGTTTTCTGCCAAATAACATGCCATGTAGGCACCTGACAGGCGGGCCCGGCTGGTCAGATACACCGTCGGTATGTATTTATACGCGATTTAGCCCGATTTGCAACGGCTTGCCTGAAACTTGGTACTGGCACGTAAAAATTTCGAAAACTGATATCAATTCGTCAACACCGCCCCAAATGTGGTACTATCGTGTAATTTACTCAGATGGCTACATCACTTCCAGATCCAACCAAAGCCTTGTGTGCAGCAAAGGTACGCCGCTGCCCTGCAGGCGTAAAGGGAAGGGGAGAGGATCAACGGAAGGTGCAGCCTGGCATGAAGGAAGATTGGTACGTCGGGAGACGGTGGGAGCTCATACGACAGAGATGTGGAGCGCCGCCAGGAGGAGGAAGAACGCACGACATGAGGAGTCCCTTCGTTGTGACTTGTCTCCCTTCGTGATGGGTCGTGCTTATCCTGAGCGGTCCTTAGAAGGGCTGCCTGGCCGAGTCAACCAGAGGAATCTTCGTGACGGCGTGCTTACCCTGAGCGGTCGCTAGAAGGGCTGCCTGGCCTAGTCAATCAGAGGAGTCCAAAAAGGCCACCGGAGTAGCTGCCCCTAGGACAAGAGGCCTAGGTTGTGGTCACGTTCGCACGGAACAGCGTTTTACACGCATCCAACGGACCAAAATGGTCAGATCTGGACACTGGACGGCCAAAAAAACTGATAGCGTGAGAAGGCTCGGTTTAGGTTCAGTTATATTGTCCTAAATTGCGCTCCATTTAAAAGATTGCCTCAAAAACTTCCTTTTTTTTCCAGGAAAGGTGTCAACACAACATTTTCTTGCAAGGAGAGTTAAGGTTTTTTTTGAAGCCTCGAAACATAGAACAATTGTTCTACACTAATTTATATTAGTATAAATCAGTATGCTGAAACAAGGGTGGGAAGAAAAAAAGAAACAAAGAAAAGCTAACTAAGTAAGACTTTCGGGCCTACAGACCAATCAAACTATGTTAGCTCTATGAAACATGTGACTCATTCAGAGGTTGACATTGATCCAGTTCTGCAGACAAGCAACATACTTGTCTTTTAACTCTGTATAGAAGCAAGGATATGCCCTCTTTGAAGCATCTCCTTCAAGAAGTGACTGAAGGTTGATATTCTTACCCTGAGCGGTCCTTAGAAGGGCTGCCTGGCCGAGTCAACCAGAGGAATCTTCGTGACGGCGTGCTTACCCTGAGCGGTCGCTAGAAGGGCTGCCTGGCCCAGTCAACCAGAGGAGTCCAAAAAGGCCACCGGAGTAGCTGCCCCTAGGACAAGAGGCCCAGGTTGTGGTCACGTTCGCACGGAACAACGTTTTACACGCATCCAACGGACCAAAATGGTCAGATCTGGACACTGGACGGCCAAAAAAACTGATAGCGTGAGAAGGCTCGGTTTAGGTTCAGTTATACTGTCCTAAATTGCGCTCCATTTAAGAGATTGCCTCAAAAACTTCCTCTTTTTTCCAGGAAAGGTGTCAACACAACATTTTCTTGCAAGGGGAGTTAAGGATTTTTTTGAAGCCTCGAAACGTAGAACAATTGTTCTACACTAATTTATATTAGTATAAATCAGTATGCTGAAACAAGGGTGGGAAGAAAAAAAGAAACAAAGAAAAGCTAACTAAGTAAGACTTTCGGGCCTACAGACCAATCAACCTATGTTAGCTCTATGAAACATGTAACTCATTCAGAGGTTGACATTGATCCAGTTCTGCAGACAAGCAACATACTTGTCTTTTAACTCTGTATAGAAGCAAGGATATTCCCTCTTTGAAGCATCTCCTCCAAGAAGTGACTGAAGATTGATATTCTTACCCTGAGCGGTCCTTAGAAGGGCTGCCTGGCCGAGTCAACCAGAGGAATCTTCGTGACGGTGTGCTTACCCTGAGCGGTCGCTAGAAGGGTTGCCTGGCCCAGTCAACCAGAGGAGTCCAAAAAGACCACCGGAGTAGCTGCCCCTAGGACAAGAGGCCTAGGTTGTGGTCACATTCGCACGGAACAGCGTTTTACACGCATCCAACAAACCAAAATGGTCAGATCTGGACACTGGACGGCCGAAAAAACTGATAGCGTGAGAAGGCTCGGTTTAGGTTCAGTTATACTGTCCTAAATTGCGCTCCATTTAAGAGATTGCCTCAAAAACTTCCTCTTTTTTCCAGGAAAGGTGTCAACACAACATTTTCTTGCAAGGAGAGTTAAGGATTTTTTTGAAGCCTCGAAACGTAGAACAATTGTTCTACACTAATTTATATTAGTATAAATCAGTATGCTGAAACAAGGGTGGGAAGAAAAAAAGAAACAAAGAAAAGCTAACTAAGTAAGACTTTCGGGCCTACAGACCAATCAACCTATGTTAGCTCTATGAAACATGTAACTCATTCAGAGGTTGACATTGATCCAGTTCTGCAGACAAGCAACATACTTGTCTTTTAACTCTGTATAGAAGCAAGGATATGCCCTCTTTGAAGCATCTCCTCCAAGAAGTGACTGAAGGTTGACATTCTTGAAGATTTTTCCATTACGTTGCAACCAAATATGCCAACCTCCAAGAATAAGAAATTAAAGGCTAATTTCTGTAGGCATAGTTTCCAAAAGAAGCAAAAAATCATCATAAACCAAAGTACCTCAAAGGTGTGCCAACAACTGGAGGTATAGTTTGATATGTTGGTTTTTTTTATAGCTTACCACATATGCCAGGTGGCAACTGGAGGTATAGTTACAATCCCAAAGAAGACGCAAGATGGTTTCTTCAGCAAGCTGGTTAAAAAAAACTTTCTCTTCACCATAGCTCCAGTGTTAAGGAATATCATTACTGGTATCTTCGACCAAAGAAAACTGGACCGCGGAGAGCTGAAAAGACGCCTATAATAATTCGGTTATATAAGCTTTTAGATGGTCGCGACGCACAATGAAACCCTCATCTTGTTGAAGCTGACAGTTCCTCCTTTTCGATGTTTTTGATCTGCAATCAAATGAAATAACTTGGTATTATTATCACGTTTTTCATATAGCTCTTACTTTTGGCCGTCAAGTCCATTTAATTTCTTCCTCGTGCAAAACAAAACAAACACCTGAATGCAAATGATTCGCCCTACCAAAAATCTCTACTCAAATTAATCACCTCCAATTACCCGTCCAAACACCACCACCACCACCACAACCCTACATTATTCATTAGATCGACATTGCGGGGTTTCTGGTTCACGGCCTAAGCATTCCGCTCCCAGATCAAAATCAAGAGGTGTGTGAGCAATAAAATAGTAACAACATATGACATTGTTCCTTGTGTACTCCTACGGCAATCCTCGCCGACTCCCTACCTCACCTCGCACGGCCAGCACATTTCTTGCAGTGAACGGACACATGCCTTGCCACTCACATCACTCACTCCTACTACTGCTCCAGTCGTCTCTCTCCGGTGCCCACCTGTTATAAATACCACCCACATCTTTTGTCTATTCAGCATCCAACAAGGCCATTCACCTCGAGCAGGGAGAGTAAAGGAGCGTGCGCAGAGAAAGGAGTGAAGAGAGGCAGGCCCCAGGCCATAATTCTCACTCTCAGCAGCCAAATCAAGGACAGGCAGGCGCAGAGCGGAGGACCAAGCTCGCAATGGGCATGGGCACGGGCATGGCTTCTCCCTTGCTTTCCTGCGCCATCATGGCGCTCCTGGCCTCCGTGCTCCCCCCTCCATCCGTCGCCGGCGACCCCGACCTGCTCCAGGACATCTGCGTCGCCGACCTCTCTTCCGGTAAGCTGCCACAGCCTGATTCCGTGCGTGCTCTCTGCTGCTCACAGGTCAGAAAGATGGCGCAAATTAACAATCTTGGACTTGTGTGCAGCCGTGAAGGTGAATGGGTTCGCGTGCAAGGCCACGGTGACCGAGGACGACTTCTACTTCAAGGGGCTGGGCGCCGCCGGCAACACCAACACCACCTACGGCTCCGTGGTGACCGGCGCCAACGTGGAGAAGGTGCCCGGGCTCAACACCCTGGGCGTTTCCATGGCGCGCATCGACTACGCGCCCGGCGGGCTCAACGCGCCGCACACCCACCCGCGTGCCACCGAGATGGTCTTCGTCCTCGAGGGCGCGCTCGACGTCGGCTTCATAACCACCGGCAACAAGCTCGTCTCAAAGACCATCAGCGCCGGCGACGTCTTCGTGTTCCCGCGCGGCCTGGTCCATTTCCAGAAGAACAACGGCGCCGGCCCCGCCTCCGTCATCTCGGCCTTCAACAGCCAGTTCCCCGGCACACAGTCCCTCGCCATGACGCTCTTCGCGGCCACGCCGCCGGTGCCTGACCACGTGCTCACGACGGCGTTCCAGGTCGGCACGAAGGAGGTGGAGAAGATCAAGTCCAGGCTCTCCCCGAAAAAGGCCTGACTAAACAATGCTGAGTACTCCTAAGATGTTTCTTCCGAGTGACATGATTTGTATTTCTACTCACTTTTACTTACCTGCGTTGTTTTCTTGATTTGTTGGATCCTCATTGTATTGTGTAATACTGCCCTGCAGCAGCAAGTACAAAAGCTGGTAGGTCTGTGCTGCTTGTAATAATAAGATCAAGTCATTTGTTGGTTCTAAATCTAATCATTCCATCATTATGGTTGCAGCAGCTTCACAACTCAAGAACCGTCCCCTCTTTGTACTTTTTATCGATTCTATTCTTTGCTTCTGCGTTGGAGATATGATAACTCCGACAACAGAAAAGAACCTTTGTGGCCCTGCAAACATGCGGAATGAGTAATCCGACGACCAACATAAAGAACCACCAATGCCACATTAGAGCATATCTAGTAGAAAATGTAGATGTAAAAATACCGAACTTTTGCATCTCCGAGAGCCAAAAAAAGCCTCTCAGAAAAATTACATCTCCGCCTCCCGGAGATGTAAACTACAACACCTCGCAGGAGATGTAAAAATGAGACCGCCCGCCGGATACCCAACTTGTCTTTCCTTTCCTTTCTGCGCGACCAGCCGCCACCCGCCCGGCTCTGCCGCTAGCCAAATCCGCACCAAATTGCCGCCGCCCACAGCCGCCGATTCACTTTCGGCTGCCGCCGAACGAAGCTTCTCCGGCTGATGCGGCTGGCCTGAACGCCTTCCCCGGCGAGGTCTACGATGGGCTAGGCTTCTTCCTACCCTAGACCCTCCGCCGGAGTTAGTGGAGGCGCACCACTCCGCCCACCCAACGGCCGTGAGGCTCGGCCATTATTCTGGCCGTGTGAAGCCGCCCACCGGCTGCACCGAGCTCCCGACTTCTTCTCTGCCGACGTGCGGTCATCTCCTCTGTCGTGCTGTCGCCGCCGCTCGCACCCTCCGCCGCCGACGGCTGCCCAACCCGTAGCCGGCCGATTTCGTCCACCCCGCAAGCAAGGTGTTCGACGAAATTCCCGAAGGTAAAAAAACGATGAAACTTGATGGTTTTTTTGTTGGGATGGAAAGTTAGTTTGACGGTGATTTTCCGCATTGCAGATGAGCTCGTGTGACTCCTCTTTGGTGGACGATTTCCTCGTCGGGTGAGGAATTTGCTTTGAACGAAGAAGAGGACATTGCAATGCTAGTGGCAATGCACAAGGGGAAGAAGCCGAAGCATGGTGGTTCCGTGTATGGCCATGCGTTCATTTGGAGAGGTACTTCCGACGCCGATTCAGAATGTCCAAAGACTTGTTCATCCACATTTGCAATTCCGTGAAGCAGCATGATCGATCCTTCGAGCAGAGGAGGAATTGTGCAGGGTTGCTTGGACATAGCACCGAACAGAAGCGACATTGCGCATGATGGCCTATGGTATTTCTACAGACTACATTGATGACAACTTGGCGATGGCAGAGAGGACTTCTATCTTCTATTTCAAACAATTTGTAAAGGCTATGGTAGAAGTGTTTGGTGCAGAGTATTTGAGAGCTCTCAATGCTCAAGACACTCAGAGACTGTTGGAGATGAACAAAGCTCAAGGGTTTCCAGGTATGCTAGGGTTCGTCGATTGCATGCATTGGAAGTGAAAAAATTGCCCAAGAGCATGGCATGAACAGTTCAAGGGTCATGGGAAGGATGCCACTATCATTCTTGAGGCCGTTGCCGATCAAGAAACATGGTTTTGGCATTCATATTTTGGGATGCCTGGATCTTGCAATGACATCAACGCGCTCGATCGGTCACCTCTTTTTGCGAAGTTAGCAAATGGAAAAGCACCACCGGTGACCTTCGAAGCAAATGGCCGCACATATAACTACGGGTCTATCTTGCGGATGGCATCTATCCGAGGTGGAGTACTTTTGTCAAGCCAATTGCAAAACCCCAAGATAAGAAAGACCCATCTTTCACAATGCACAGGCGGCGGCTAGGAAAGATGTTGAGCGGGCTTTTGGGATTTGCAATCCCAATTTGTTATTGTGCGTGGACCATCTAGATTATGGGATCAAAAAACCCTTTGATATATCATGACTGCTTGCGTGATCATGTATAACATGATCATTGAGAATGAGCGTGGGCATGATTTAGGTTACACCTTCTATCACTTGATGGGCATACACGTTATGCCCATAAGAAGAGAGGAGCGAATCAAACACTTCATGAAGGTGTACAATGAAATTAGAGACTCCAATGCGCATGATCAACTTCAGAAGAATTTGTTGGAGGAGTGTTGGAAGTATCATGGCGAAAGAGGCGAATACTTTTATTTATTTGTTTGTTGTATTGTGCAAAACTATGTTGTATGTGTGTTGCATTTGTTCTTGTGTAATAATTTGATATTATGGACATGAGCAATTTTTAAGTTGATTATTAGATGTTTTATTTTAATTTGTGCGGCTGAACAGCGGATGTACAACAGCCCAACAGCAGCTACAGCGGCTGCGTGGGCGGTGGCCGGCGGCCGGTTTTGCATCTCTAGTTTACATCTTCTATCGGAGTTGTTCTTTTACATCTCTGTTTTGCATTTTCTTTTGGAGTTGTCGTTTTTTTAGATGCAAAAAGCACTTTTTTGGGATGTAAAAGTTTGCATCTTATATTTTACATCTTTAAATTTGCATCTTTTATTGAAGATACTTTTACCACATTTACATGTTTTATTCCATGTAAATGGCCGCGCTGCTCGTATTGGGAGATCCCCATTTTTTGTTCTCTTTCGAAAATTCAGTTAAGCGTGAGCACAAAGAACATGTATAAACACATATGCCAAGAGAATAAGAGCAAGTCGAGGGAATGTGCATTGCTTTACGGCGAAAAGCGCATCATATCGTTGGGGGTAGGGACCTGCTAATGCTATGGAGCAGAACGTAAACCAGCTTTTCTTCTCGCACTTTTTCAATGTGCCGGGCACGAACAGCACGGCGCCGTGCCGTCACTTTCACATCAAGCAATTCGACGACCCCATTCATACAGAAAAAAAGGCCCACAACGCTAAGCTCAACAGCGCATTACTTGAGCAGCTTAAACGACATGCATGTTTGCTGATGGTAGTACCGAGAGATCTCTACTACTCCCTCCGCTTCAAATACTTGTCGTGGTTTTAATGAAGGGAGTACTAATTGTCATCATGTGGTGAAATAGAGCAAAGAGATGTTGTTTACTTTGCTGCTACTTCCTTTCCAAAATAATTGAAGTGTTAGGATTTTTTTGAAGTTAAAGTTTTTACAGTTTGACAAAGTTTGTGAAAAAATCTGTAAAGATCTGCAATATCAAATACATATAATATGAAAATATTTTTAGTGAATATTTTTTTGCCGAGATTTCAGTATGAATCTAATGAAGTGGTTATATTTTTGCTTCAAGAATCTTAATTATAAGGGATATTTAAATTAGTGTCCCTGGTTCCTTAGTTGTGCTCACTTTTCCCCATGCTCCAAACTTTTGCTCACTTTTCCCCTCTTCCTTAGCTGAAACTCTCACAATTGCTCATAACGGGTGTTTGCCGTCTTGACCGTCCATTGACCGTTAATTGCTGACGAGTGGGGCCGAGTCTTCGTCTGACCGTTGCGTCCTGATGGGTGGGACCGCAAGGAGACACGTATTGGGCAGCTTGTCTGAATCTGAAACAGATCTAGACAGGCCGCACCGCACCGCGCCGCCCCAACCCCTCCGCCGGCGTCGTGCTACGTCCACCGCAGTTGTTTCCTCCACCCTATGCCCCTATTCCGTTCGTCGGCGACGCCGCGTCTCCGCCAGATATAGCCCACCTCCCCATCTGGGATTACATAGCGATGTTGAGTGAGGACGCCCGGAATGCAGTCGACCGTGGAGAGGATTGGGTCGAATCCGCGACAGATAATTCATGGATTAAACCTGGGTAAGCATCGTTTCCTCTCGAATTGACGTTCTAAGTCGTATTGTAGGCCATATTTGACTTCTGTTTGCTTGAATCGTTCGAATTTGTGCTCGATTTTACCCGGCTAACTAAAGCCTTTGTTTCAACAAAATAGGATTGATCCCGCGCTGGCTTTTCGGCTGGCGATTAGAATGGAAACTAGTGTGCTGCGTGGTACTAAATCACATTTGATTTCATCATTTTTCTATCCCAAAGTGGTAGAAACCAGCATATCTTTCAAAGATTTGCGAGTTGAGCTCCGAAACACCTATCCCTGGAGTGATGTCGATGCTGTTGAACTGAATTACTTTAGCAGTGAAGAGCAAAGATTTCTCCCACTAATTTGCGACGATCATATGCCGTTGCTTTTTGCTGGGATTGCTGGCTGCCGATTCGGTAAACTCCAAATCGATGTGCTTCAGCCACGCGCAGAACGGGCGAAGGGGAAGGGACTTCAGACATCATATGTCTGTGCTAATAGCCAGCACCCCGGCACTCCTTGTAGGTCGACACCAAGTAAAGCAAGTGGTTCATGGAGCCACAACATGCCTGCTGCCAATTCTGGTTCCGATTCAGCTGCTCCTTCTCATGTACCTTCTGCAGTTGGTGTAGAAGAAGATGCAGAACCTGACGAGGCAGTGCCTACAAATGATGATGAAGACGAGATGATGTTTCCTGAACTGGTCGATGTAGCTAGTCAGCAAGCAGTGGATGATGAATATATGGAGGAGCCCATCAGCCAAGCTAGGTTTGATGACACTGACGATGAAGAGAAGGTGGAGAACATGGACAACTTAATCGAGGATGAATACGATGGTGATGACATGCCAACAATTGAGTGGAACAGGGAAAAACCTGAGCTTAGTGTAGGTACCATTTTCCAATCAATGGTGGACTATCGGAATGCAGTGACAACATGGTGCATTATATCTGAAAACACCTATAAGATTAAAAGGAGTGAGCCAGCAAGGTTTACAGTTTTTTGTCCATATCCTAGGTGTAGGTGGAAGTTGCATGCATCTCGTATGAGAAAGAGCAAATATATTCAGGTAATCCAAGTTCAGTTAGTAATTTA